GTGTGTGTGTGTGTGTGTGTGTGTGTGTGTGTGTGTATATATATGTATAACTATATATATAGCTCGATATATATATATATATACATATATATATATTTATATTATATATATATATTTATATTTATATATATATATATTGTTTATACAGTTCATATATATATATGTATATACAATCATGTGTTATATATGTATTTATAAATATATATATATATGTACGTATTTATTCATGTAGGTATATATATATGCGTGTGTGTGTGTGTATGTGTGTGTGTGTGTGTGTGTGTGCGTGTGTGTGTTTCTGTAAGTATGTATACATTTATTCATATATGTATATTTTGTATGTATATATGTATATATGACTCATTTGTATCTACATACTTACACTTATATTTTAACTGAGGTTATGTCCTGAAGAATTTTGAAAGTCTTTATATGCATTTACATAGCTCATGGATTAGGGTTTGCGTGTTGGTGTCATTAAACCACCGCGTAAGCATTTTGAGAGTTCAAGAATCAATTTGACGTATTTTTTTATATTGCTTAATGGGCGCAGTCGTTACGCGGGGCTAGGGCTGATTTGAATTTGTGGGATATTCGTGAAGAACAAATATCTAATACAAAAACGAAGATATCAGTGTTACCAGAGGAGCTCACCCACAATGTACTGGTATGTTTTTATTGCATATAATGCTGCCAGGCAAATAGCAAGCAGATGATCTTTCTTTAATTCTAAGCTTATAACTGTCTTGTAGTTTGCATTTCTCACTCTTGCCAAATAGTTTGACGTGATCAGTGTGGCATATCTGTGTACGGCATCTCATTCTAGTACACCCATACTTGCCTTCCAGAGAGGACATCAATGTGTATTTGATGTTTGTTGGCTCCATCGTTTTTGATACTTTGCAGTAACCAAATATGTTTATACACGGCAAAGTAAACAAAATTCTGAATAGACAGTTTATCCATCACGCAGATCAATTCGCACTTGGTCATATACAAAGTGGGGGGGGGGGGAGGTTGGAGGGAGGGAAGATTTAGTAAGATATATCATCGGTTTTCAATTCTGTATTCAATTTGTAGGTGCCAGTTGGAAAGCTTGCGTTCATGAAAGGCAGACTCGAACACACCAATGAACTGATGGTCCTACTTGGAATGAACACTTTGGTGAAAATGTCTGCCAAAGAAGCTGCCGCTGTCCTCGAAAGGCGGCTTGAGTGTAAGTGATATGGATATAAACAGTAGAATTCTACTGCATCAATAATATACCTTACCTTCTGCGCTACCTTATGGAATGTAATTGGTATATATTTACATTATGGTACGGATTCACTTTTATTTCTATCCATTTCCAGATACGGCATCGAAGAGGTCCAAAATCGATCAGACAGTACAGAATCTGAGTGCTCGTCTGGAAATGAGTTATGCCGAATTCGATCCTGATAGGGGTATGGTATGTCTAGTCGGGGGGGGGGGGGTTTCGGCAATGTCGACTTGATGGCGGAATTCAATACCAAATCTAACTAAGCCTACTGACATCTTTTATCATCGCCACAGGACGAGGATGGCAATCCAATTTTCGAAATCAACGAGCCGTATTTGTCCGAGGATGAAATGGAAGCAGCAGGTGCTGCTGTAAAAGAAAGTGTGTCATGTTTGATCTTGTCTTGGTGCCCTATAGTTTCAGCACTATAATCTCAGGGATGGTTTTAAGTGATAATATTCCAACACGACAAGCTATACTATCGCATGTAGATCAAAATGGCTCAGATCTGGCTGACACCCACTACCGATATATTAGATCCCGTGACAGAGATCGTAGAGAGTGACAGCAGCGAAGAAGTTAAGGATTCTGAGTTTGCCGATGAGGTAAACATGGAGATGGAAGAATACTGGGCAGCTATTGAAAGATTACAGGAGCTAGAAGACCTCAACAATGAGTTGGCGTTGTCGGATGAAGACGAGTATGAGAATACGGACACACTCGAAATATCTGAAGCAGGAAAAGTTGGCGAAGGTGGAGAAGGCCTTGATCGCTTACTGCAGGATTCTATAAATGATCTGGTATGGCAACCATTGTGGTAATATCGACTGTGCCGCTTGTGTGCTCAATCCACTGATTTCAGAGGGGATCGCTGCAGGGTGTTATCTTGTCACGCAGTATGCTCCCGCAGGTGTCGCCCATTAATTCCAGGGTCCTTGAGTGTTATGGTATTATTCAACCATGCAAATTAACGTTATTGCCAATGACTTTCCTGCGTTCCGATCGGCTAACAGGAGATTGAGGATCGAACGGCAAAGTTGGCTCAGAAAGAACAGGTAGCGCCCGCACGGAACATACAGGTACCGAACCTGGCAGAGCCAACCACTGTGAAGAAATCGGATCTACAAGCACAAGGTACCGTGCATGTACTTCATTAGTTTCGCTAGGTCTCAATTATCTCGAAGTGCCCAGCGTACTTATATCTCTTTTCCTTTTTAATCCACTCGTAATTTAGGCAAACCGACCGGAACAGCTGCGGCATTCAATGGTGACGTGCTGGAGAGAGAACCCGTTCCAAATTCATACGGAGCTTGTGTGCAATCGGAAGCATCCGCGAAGAAAATATCCAAATTCAAAGCAATGCGTATGGGGAAGCAAACATAAAATACAACGTTAGATAGCAATATAAATATCTATAATTACTCTCGCCTTTTTATTGTCTACAGACTATGCGAGCCAAGTCACTACAGAGGATATAATCCGCCAATTCTGAACTCACATCAGCATCAGTCCGACAGATATGCGTTGAGCCACTGCTACTCTTCATTCATCGATTCTAAGTTGCAAGAACACGAGTCTGATACGAATTGGACGTCAAAAACAGGGCACGTCGCGAGTTTTCAAGCACCCTTAAGGCCCGATATCATTGATCCTAGCCGCATATCTATCACCTGTACGCCTGGTGGAAATCCACTCACCGAACAGTACAGTCAGCATGACAGCAGGAACTGGTCAAGGGGCGTTTACAAACCCACAGGCTTTGATATGCTGCATAGGTGTCGCAACATACACACGACGAGAGCTAATATATGAAGAATGTCAATTAAGACAGCAAAAAAAATCTTTCGGATATTACTGCCTGCAAATTCATGTTTGTGATGAATTTGAAAAGCGCCGCTTGTTTGCTTCAGTCGCCTCATTTCAATAAATTGCCAGCACCTCGATGAACTCCTATGCCGATTCTGTCACGAATAGTTCATCACACGGCACAGATTAGCAAATGCTTAGGCAGCACCTTGACTGTGACATCAAATGGTTCGAACACCTCCCCATCCACCAACATAGGAACCGTTAGTACCTCTTTGCTCACCGTCCTCGTAGTTGGGATCTTGGCTTCTACAGATGGGGGTTCTGTTTCTGTCGCCTCCGCGTCACCGCTCTCAGACTTAGTGGCTTCCTTATCCTCTGCAACCTCTATTGGCTCTTCGTGTGTTACTGTCATGGAATCAAGCGGTTTGATATATATCTCACTCAGTCCCGTGATCTCACGCGTATCCTCTGCCAAACCGCCGTTTTCAATGAAGGATGCGACCATCGTCGTGTCTTCATCCTTCTTAGCCCCAACCATTGCATTCCATAAGTGGTACAGAGCACTCAAGCTGGAAGGAGCGGTCCAAGATACCTTCAATTGTCCGTCAGTCACCGAAAGCTCTGAGTCTTTGGCCACCCGCATACCGTATATTGATGGCGTAGAGGACACAAACAACTGGCCGAAGTTGATTTCTTCTGTAACTTCCGCGGTTGCTGCTGTGGGGGTGTATTTGACTACTGCTGAATACTTCGGCATTTGATTGCCGGCAAGGATGGCCTCTTTCAGCTGGCGCCACTTTGCCATTCGAATGGACAAGCCAGAATCTTGATTGAACGTATCAGATATCAAAGCAGCGGGCGCCCCATACACCAATCCCGATAGACAGTGCACACTACGACCCGTACCAGAAGTCACCGAGACCAAATCCACCCACTTTGTTTTGCCTCGCAAGACAGCCATAGTGGCTTCACATCGTTCACGCACTTCAGCAAGCCTCTCCCCTCCGTTGGGGTATAGTAGTGCACTGACAAACGCATTGTGTTGCCCTGTGGCCACAAAAGCCACTGGAACACTAGTGCGCAAGGTATCGACGTCCTGTCGTCTCATAAATCCTGTGACGAACTCTTGGTGTGTGCCATCATCACCAACCACCACTATGGCTTTACTGTTAGAAAAGTCGACATCTTGCGAGATATCTTTTGTCATGCCCCTCTCCTTCGATTCGATGAGCAGGATTTCATTGCCTGCTAACAGCAATAAGGGCTCCACATCTTTCTTGTATATTTCGCGCCCGTTTTGGTTACCCGAGCGGATGTCAACTAAAACAACGACCCTCTCGGGTTTCTCGAAGAAAGGTACGGGTGTATCTCCATACTTAAGTGCTTCTTCGCCTAATCGTGCCCTCAGTTGCCACATTCTATATCGATTAAACCCGTAGTTTGCTCCGAAAGCGCCTATACTGGCTACTATCATCTTCCCCCAATTATTTTTTATGCCATTTTTTATCATAGTAGCCATTCTGCCGAAGTATCTATACAGGAGAACGACGTCAACAAGGTTTCAACTCTATATCTGCTACAATCTATTAGGCGGTTCTACTCGTTTGTAAATTTATTGAATTTGTTTTTTATTTTTATGTATTGTGAAGTTATGAATTTTTTTGTCACACGACTCACACGAGTTTCAACAAGAGAGCGAGTACACATATAAAAATAGATATTTTATCCTGTGCATCTATAATTGACATCGGCTCCAGATGTCAAACGCATTTGAATGCGTTTTACGCCATCCAAGATCCACGTACAACCAGGCCATATAAATTTGGAGCCCGGGGCCCCAGTCCCCAGACCACGCCCCGCAGCCTTATACAGGCCAGGGAGGATCGTGTGGCTTGAAAACACGTGATGGAACAATACCTTAAAACCCTGCACTCTACTTTAATCACGTCATGAAACCTACGACGATACACAAATATTTCTCTCTCTACTGACTACATACTCTCATCAGAGAGAGAGAGAGAGAGAGAGAGAGAGAGAGAGAGAGAGAGAGAGAGTACTACACA